AACGATCAATACAAATGGTGAATGCAATATACGACGATAATATACGAGATAAATTTTGTATATATGGTTGAAAACGACAACGAAAAAATATATTATTTTTATATGCTTTTAAATTGTAAATATTATCAAAATATTCAACAAGTAATGTGTACATATGAATTGTATTAAATATTGTTAAAAATAAAAATAATTGTCCAGTACTCACACGTCTCACATCTTTTTGTGTAAATATGATAAATGACAAAAGATTGCCAATGAGACCACAAAAATAAATGATACCACCACTAATAGCTGTACCCAATACAACTCGAAACATAACGATTTTCTACTTTGTAGATAGATACTTTTATAAATAAGAATTAAAAATGTATCATAAAAGGTATATATTAGGTAACTTATATATATTAGCATTTTTTTTATGCATAAACCATATTTTTCCTTCTTGACAGATCAGATGAAGGATTTATATTTTAACATATACTTGAAAATCATAAAAGTATCTATTTATAACACGGAAATAAACAATAATAAAATAGAAAATTAATCAAAAAGAAAATTAATTTGGTGTAGAATGATAACAATATTTGCCTATGTGAAGATTGAAAAATATTAAAACTATAAATACATTAGGAATTGGGATATTGATTCATAGCATACGGGGAACTTCTCAACAACGTTAATTCCACGCGACGATTTAACAAGTCCACTAATAAAAACTACCCCCGAATAACAAAACATCCTCAATAATGCATGTGGCTATCGTATCACTTTGAGAAAGCAAAATCAAAATGTTTGAAAGTGAAAACTCAATATACAATATCTGAATATAAAGTGAAGTTATAAAATTTGTATGACAGCCACGTGTGTTATTGAGGATGTTTTGTTATTCTCCTTTTATGTTACATGAAACGTGCAAAAAGAGAATGTGATTTATATAAAAGGCATTTTGGTTCTAAATGTAGTATGCAGATCACTTCGAGTCGTTTTTGCAGTTCCAACGTTTTCTTTGATCGTTGATGATCACTGGAAATTTTGGAAAAGGCTACACCGTCAATTCTAACAATATGCAGAATGAGAATATGACACTATGAAAAGCTGAACATTATATTGGTTTTGAATCTTTCTATGACAGTAAGATACTTTTCAGAATTAAAACAAACCAATTTTAAAGTACATTCATGTGCATCTGGTTTGAGAACAACCGAGATGACCAATTATGGGGGCCATTTAGTTGAAATCGGCGTAAGATCATCTGTCGCGTTGACCATCTTATATTTTAAGAATATACTGAATTCACTGATTTCTAGAAGATCTGTTGAAATTACTCAGTGAAAAGTGTTTTGACAAAAGATATAGTCGGATATATCGGAGATGAAAAAAAGTAAGGTATAAAAACCGTTAGCACTTATTTTCGGATATATCCAATTGTATCGTCATCTTGGATATATCATGATATACCTGTCAGTCGATGATTCATTAAGGCTATATTCAACTGTATTCAAAAAGAAGGACACAGTTGGATACATCAGAAATGGGTCACTTGGTATTTCGCGAATATCTGTCAATTTTCATTTCCACGACTTCTTTTAAGATTCTCCGTTTAATTCTCTACAACATATCACTGGACTGCGAAATTTTCAAACGCGATTGGAGTCCGGGAGAAGACGATATTCGGAATCAGCGTGGTCAATTGCCTATGGGTCCATGCTTTTTACTCCGGGGTACTTTCGAAAATTAAAACCGGGGGCCTTTAAAAAAATTCGAAAAACTGCGACAGTTTTTAGGCTTGACTGCACCATGTTTTACTCGGACTTTTCTTCGAGAACACGGTACAATTAGTTTCTGGAGTTCCTCTCCACCATCCAGCACTCTCACTATGTTACAGTCTTCATATCACAACCAACTTCTCAGAAAGGTTTTATTCTTTTTTGTACACACATAATGATCAAAGAAAACGTTGGAACTGCATCTCGGTTGTTCTCAAACCAGATGCACATGAATGTACTTTAAAATTGGTTTGTTTTAATTCTGAAAAGTATCTTACTGTCATAGAAAGATTCAAAACCAATATAATGTTCAGC